ATCATGATGGTGCTCCCTCTCTCTCTCAGCCTCTCGCTGTCGCTTTGGCTCTAGCTGCCTCTGTCTCTGTCTCTGTCTCTCTCTCTCTCTCTATCTCTCTCTCTCTCTCTTTCTCTCGCTCGCTCTCTCTCTCTCTCTCTCTCTCTCTCTCACTCACTCAGCATATGCACATAGTAAAAGCTCTATGAGGTAGTGGGTCGACGGATAGACAGAAAGATAAACAAAAAGACAGATGGATTCGCAGGCAGGCAGGCAGGCAGGCGGGCGGGTGGGCAGGCGGGCAGGCGGGCAGCCAGCCAGCCCGCCAAACAGACAGACAGATAGATAGTAGATAGATGAATAGGTAGGTATAGGTAGAAACAGAGGCAGATAAATAGACAAATATGTATATAGGCTGAGAAGTAGCTAGGTCAGTAGATAGACCGATAGGTAGACAGGAGCCCGAGAGCACCGAACACACTAAGATGCTATAAGTCGCAACACAACAACGCCAGTGAAGAACATGGTACTTGAAATAATCATTGCACAAGATAAACAGGATAACATAACAACCGACGGCTGCTGCCAGTGTCATCACTACTTTAGGAAGCACAGCACGTTAAGTCTTCGGCACTGCATGCTAAGTCGAGACTGTAAACTGGCATCGCGCAGACGGCATTTCTGGACAACAGGCCAAAAAACGACTTTCAGGGGCCAGGCTTTAGGCAAACAGGGTGGCCCGAAGCAAACAAGCCTGGGGGTCGTCGTTTCCACTGACTTGATTTGATTAAGCAAGCTGGCCATGCGATACCACTGCAGCCCCGAACCACTCTGAAGTTTTCGGACCTGAGACGCAGCAGTCCGAACCGAAACGGGCGAGAAGCAGCGCGACAAAAGAAGCCCGAGAAGGAACCCGAAATCGCGCCTTCTGCTCCGGCAAAGCAGAGAGCAACTCCTCCTTAAGCGTTCGCTCAGGGTCCATCTCGTCGACGAAGCTCTGCCTGGGATGGTCTAGGCTGCACCTCGAATCTCTTCATAGTTGCCGAGATTCAAAGATAATATAGGGGCCCTACTGTAATAATTAGAATAGGGTTAGGGCTTGGTATACTACTTATAAAAATACATATAATAAGGAACCCCCCCAAAACCCTATTCTAATTATTAAGGCCCCTGAATTAGTTCTCCACATTAGGGTCCCTTTTAGGATCCTTACCATCAAGGGTGCTGCAGTCTTCTGGGCTCCTGAAAAGGACCCTACTTCACAGAACTACCCACACATGGAGGTGCTTCTCAAGCACAATCTTGGCGAGCCGTACACAACAGAAGGGGCCTGGAGATGTGGTAAAGGGTTCCATTCTTGGGTCCTTTACAGGGCTTTACCAGCATTTCTTTAAGGCTTCTACAATACTACGGCCTGAATAAGTAGAATAGGTTCTTGGGTGTGTGTGTGTGTGTGTGTGTGCGGACGAAAAGTCAGATGCGAGCAAAGCCTCGGATGACTCGTGCATCCCCAGAAGCGTTCAGCCAAGCAAAGTCTTCAACTAAGGTTTGTGAAACCATTCCATCAATGCGTCGTACCATTGAGCCATACTTCAGCGACCAAGTATCAAGTAAACTGTACTGGGAAATCAAACGGGTGGGGACACCTGCGCATGAGGTTTGCTTGGGTCAGTTCAGGACACAGGAGCTCAGCAACTTTCTGCAGCATGCCGCAGGCTTCAGCCGGAGCCCAGACAAGCTCAAGCAACAAATGTGCAGAAGTCGTTTGCAAGAAGTTGGATGTTGCTTGTATCCTTCGAGTGGTGGTCTAAACTTTGCAATGCGATGTTTGTAGATGGTTTGAATCTCTCAAATAGGCCAGCTGGACCAGATTGAGACGGCAAAATGTTTGAAATCTCAAGTGGGGACGAGGCAGGGTCTGGCTGTATAGTTGTCATAGGGAACTCTATACCTTATCAACATTTACTTGGGCTTCTGCATTGGAGAGGTGCCTTCAAAGCGATTCGCGATATTATCGGCATTATAGCCAGAATTGCACTTCTAGTATAAGGTGCCCCCAAAAGCCGATTCCAATTATTAAGATGATACCCCAAGGGTCCAAAAGACCCAATAATCAGGTACTTAGGGTTCGGATAGTAGTTATGTAGGTAGGTGACTATTTGGGAGAGCATATGATTATTAGGTACTTGGACCCTTAGGGACAGGGCATGACACCTCAGCCTGGCAGCAGTGCATTCCCGACGCCCTAAACTCCAAATTCGAGATTCCCCTGAACATACCCTAACCCTCCAGCTACCTACTATATAGGGCCCTAGAACCCTCTAGTACTCTATATAGTAGGTACCTGGAGGGTTAGGGATATGGAGCCAAGACATTCTTAACCGCTATACCGCTATACATACACCCCGAACTCCATACAACTCCGAATTCTCTACACTCGACGCCGTGATGTCACCGCCAAGAAGCTCCAGGATAGCCACCTTTGCATTCGAAGGGCCTTTGGTCGACACTGCGAGGACAGGGGGTTTGTGAATTCAGCGTAGCGGCCTAGCGGCTTGATACTTAGGGATGCAAGGTTTGGAGATTTAGCGTTTGGTGGCTTTGAGTTTAGGGATTCGGCTGAGGGGTTAGAGTCCTTCAGGACCTGGGGTATGTGCCGTGCCGATTCTCGTCTTTGGGGCTTGGGTTTTCTGACTCAAATAAATGGCGACCCGGCCTGAGCTAACGTTGCCACCATATTTTGGTCCGTCGCCCAGAGCTCAAAACGATTCGAAACAGAGAAACCCACCCAGCGGATGCAGCAACTGCGGGCCCGGGCTCGCCTTCAGTTCAAGTGACAGTCAAGATCACTCCCCACACCACCAGAGACAGGCCGTATTCCGAACCGTGCTGTAATCCACGAGAGCGCTGGCATCCCAGCATACCCGACTCTAAGAACTCATCGTTGAGGCCATCGTTGTATGAACTGCAACTCTGCAGTACGTTTTCATGTAAATCAATCTGGCCAAGCACTGCCCGCTACCTCACCACAGTCTGGCTTCTGGCTTATGCCCATAGGTGCTCTGGGTTTTGGGGTTGTGTAGTACGAGTACTGTGATATTGCTGCTACTGTTCTGCCACAAGTACTGTATCTATAAATTACTAGTGCTGCTAAGTCCTCTTGCTACGAACTCGTCTTGCCATTGAAATTACTATTGCAACTACAACATGACTGTGTCTCTTGCGGTTGCTGCTACCGAGTACAAGCACTAGTACTCGTACTAGCACTAGCACTGCTGCTCCCACTAGACATTACAATTTCATACTGTTGCTATTCCTCTTCCACCTCCTTTTCTTCCTTTTGCCTTCTGCTCCGGCTCCTGCTGTTGCTGCTGCTGCGACTGCTGCTACTACTACTACTACNNNCGACTACAACTACGACTACGACTACGACTACGACGACTACGACGACGATTACAACTGCGACTACCGCTGCGGTCACTGCCGCTGCCACTACCACTACCTCGACGACCACTACTACGCACTGCTACTACTACAACTACTACCACCACCATTATGAAATCTGCACCTGAACTTTGCGCTCAAACTGAGACCCTGGACCTAATCTCAAAAGCCCGCCCCTACATCGAAACTCGAAACCGCCATCCTCACCCGAAACCCAGAAGTCAAGCTAGCCTTTCTGCGATGTACCTACGCCGAAACCCTAAACCCGATCCCGAACCCTGACCCTAAGCCTGAACTCGAACCCCCCCCCAAACCCTAACCCTGGCTGAAGTACTGAGGTTTCAACTCTTCACCACCTCGCCTTTCTCCGGGGTCAACCTCGCCGCCAAAGCAACATCGGACGGGGGGAGCTTGCTAGTTGGAATATGGCATGGGGGTGTTACGATTCTGTCTTACTGTACTGTGGAGAGAGACTTCTCGAAACGAGCAGCAAGGACAGGAAGACACTAAGAAGAGCAAGGGTATACTCATATTGCGACACAATATCAAAGGTCACTTCAGGTTACAGCATGTGAATAACAAGCTCAAAGTATAAGATCGATGATTTCATGATATGAAGCTGGGCATGCAGATGACAGTGAAGAACGGACAATCCGGGAAACGACATCAAGGAGAATCCAGAAGCACATACTCGGCATAGTCTTGATAGACGATAATACTGGCAAGTGCCAGAGGCATCTAACCCAAGATGCTGGATCCAAAGCCACCGACCGGACTACACCCATACACTGGGTTCTAAAAGCTTCGGCTCACGATTTTGGCTACATGGCAAGTCGGGCGACGCCAAAAGGGTGAACGAGGCCCAACTGGAGCGTACGCAATGGCAGCTGAAGCAAGCTGCGCTCGCAAGCATGGTCAGATAGGTACAAGGATGGTCCAAGGTCGAGAAGGCAAGTGCCATTGAATGGTGCTGAGACCCCAGAGGTCCTAAAAGCACGAAAAATTGCCTATATTATTTTGGGGGGCTCCTTATCATAATTGTAGTATAATGGGCTACTTATTAAGGCCCCTATATGAGGCATGACCAGAGAGCCCTGATGATGAAGTTGTTGGCTTCAAGATCGAGGCCGATGCTGGTTGAGCAGCACCCGAAGCTGTGTTGTCTTGCCACAGCCTCAGAGAAGCGTGAGGGATCGTCCAAGGTCCTCTTAGGCTCATCGTATAATTGAGGTCTAGGGTATGCGTGGCCTGGCAGATATCGGCTAAGTCTGTCAAACTGAACACACCGTGCTTTCCGGGTGGGGCCTCTTCACGTGTGACTAGCAGTCTTAGCCCAACAAGCCCAAACCCCAACCTTACGCTCCGAACTCCCACAATCTCTCGCCCATGCATCTCACCAACCCACGACCCTGCATACCCTACCTAGTGACCTGCTCCAAAATCAAACGCAAGCATTGCTGAATACTAAACTCCAGACGCAAAAGCTAGAAGCCTAGAGCACCACGAAAGCCAGACTAATGTAATTAGGGGCCCTAGGAATTAGAATAGGGCTCACGAGCCTCAAAAGGCCACCCCAACTTTACAACCCCGCCATCCGATTTCTTGGAACTTGAAGCCCCAAACCTAGAAGTCAATAACCCTGGTCCTCGACTCCCCAGCACAATCCGGAATCCTACTGTAGGGGCCTTAATGATACTTAGAATAGGGTTTTGGGGGGTATATTATACTTATAACTGGAATAAGGAACCCCCCAAACTAGTATCAGTAATTTTTGAGGTCCCTATAGTACATCCTCAACCCAGGGCCTTCGATGCCCCTTGAAAGCCCAAGGCTGCGGGTTTCTTGATCGTAGCCCCCCGGCCCCACACCCCCGAACACCACAATTCCAGACCCACAGCCCTGTAATACTCCCAATCCAGAGCCCCAAAGCTCCGAAACCTACAATGCCAAGACCTCAAATACAAGGATAAAGGGTGATTGTCAATGGCCTGGTTGTGGGTTCACAGAGGGTTTCGGATTCAGGGCCAAGGGTAAACGGGGGATGCTCTGCAAGGCTTGCATGGAATGTCTGGTCTGTCTGGTTCGCAGGATTCTGCAACTCAACCCCGGCGTCCCCTCAAAGCTTCGGCGGGCGAAAGAAGAAGCGCCGGGGTTGGGAGGAAGGTTTAATATAGGGGCCTTAAGCCCTTAATAATTAGAATAGGGTATTGGGGCCCATTATATTACAATTACAATAAGGAACCCCCAAAACCCACGGCTTCAACTTCGCACGATTCCCTGAGACAGGGGCTTAGGGCACAGGGTCTGGACTTTCGGACTTGGGAGTCTAATGTTGGGGCCTTCATAGTTAGAATAGGGCTTTGGTTCTATAGTAGTACTATCATGAAGAACCCTAACAGTAATATTTGTAATTATTTAGAAAAGGGCTTTGGCTGTATAGTATTACTATCATAAGGAACCCTAATAGTAATATTGGTAATTATTTAATTTGGGCTGTTATATTATACTTATCGGCCAAAGGGCGGCCTCTGTGCGAACAGGTAGTATTGAGCCCTCTGGGGTTCCCGGGCCGTTAGCGCCGACCAGTGCCAACTTCTCTCCCGTTTTCACCGTCCATGACGCCTCGGACATTCCACGAGATAGGCTGTAACGGCAACAAAAACAATATAACAAATATGGGGGCTGTAACGTAGGATGGGGTTTCGGGCTATGTTAAAGAACACTTGTAATGGTCATGTCTTGCAATTAGAAGCTTAAGGAATGGTGTTGGAAATCAGGCTTCTATGCTGCTGTCATCTACCAAATCCCATGGGAGCCCTCGAGAAACCCCCAAAAAACACTACTCCCCCTTGCTATGGTGACCGTGCGAAGCTAGTCGGCCGGCTTCAACTCAAGCCCATATACCCCATACTAAGGCGAACCAGTGGACCTGAAGAGCGCAAGGAAAAGTGAGCTCAACCCTAAACTCTACACCGATATGTCCGTGCCTTAGAGACCCTAAGCCACAATCCTGGAGATTGACCCCCGTACACGACCGCAATGTGACCTTGAGGGACACGAGACCTGGGTTTCCGAATAGAGTTTTGCTAGAAAAGAATAACAATGAGCATACCCTGACCCTGCAGGTACCTACTATATAGGGCCTTAGGCGCTCTAGTACCCTATATAGTAGGTACTTGGGGGGTTAGGGATAGATTCTATTCGAGGAACACCGCAATGACCACTAGACATAGTCCGTCATGAGTCAAACGGGAAAACACAGGCGAGCTATTACAGTACTATTTGCTGAGGTCTATAGGCGAGAGCCTGAACTTTCGATCATGGGATCCTGTGAGAATACGGTGTAAACGCACGCTGCGACGATGAGCCAGCTGACTTGCTAAGCCCCTATATCATATCCTTGAAGTGCAACCAGGACCAGGACCCCATGAATGATGCATCAGATCCCGATCGAGATGCCTAGGGCTCCGTTGCCTAAATAGTAGCTTACCATAACCATATGCCATGTATCTCAGCAACCCAGTATTTGGGTAGCTGGAGCTCTAGATATGTTTGCTTGGAGAGGCACGTCTTGAAGCACCTGACGACCACCAAGGCGAATTGCGACCTAGCAGTGCAGAAGCTTAGTTGCTGAGTTCAGAAGCCCCACAAACTGAAAGCTTTCACATCTATATGGGTATAGCATTGTCCCAAAAAGTGCTACGAAGGAAGACGGGGGCATGATGCGGAATGATCCTGTTCTTGCCCCTCTTCATCTCATCTTGATGTGAGGACTCGGATGTCGAACTCATGCTAAATGTTGATCGGCCATCTAAGCACCAAAACCCCTAGCCTCGCGGATGCCCACTGTCACTTCACCTGGCACAGGCACACAGAAAAAAGCAAAATCAAGGCTTCGCGACGCGAAGTGCGGCACAAACCAGGAATATGTGGGGCACGAAAGCATATCCGTGGCATGCAAAGCCATGAGTCAACCCCAAGCCAGACACTGTACGAACTTCCTGCAACACTGGAGTGGTCTGTAGCTGGGAATGTTGCTGCAACTGGCAGGCCAACTCATGCCTTACATAAGGGATCAATCACCCTCCTCTCTCCTACGATCACATACCACACACACACACACGCGCACACACACGCGCACACACACACACACATGCATACATCCGCATGTGCAGATACATGTATAAATGTATGTAACTGTATGTGTATATAGACATAGATATACGCTATTCTTTACATATGTGTAGTTGTTGATGTCTGTCAATATTTCGTAGCTCCAGCTTACACGGCCGCAAGCATGCACTCACATAACCAGTCATTGTTTCCGCACACACAGAGACACATCGACAACTGTCCAGTTTCCTACACACCTGCATATCTTCAAGGAGACCATGAAGCTCGGCAAACCCAGCAGGAAGACAGCTCTGACAACAACATCGAACATAGCGTGACCTAACCTGAAAACACCAACACTGTAGCGCTTAGGGGGGTTAGAGAGGAAACCTTTCAAGTACAGAAGCGGAACCCACTTCGAGGTCTAAGGTCTATACATGGTGCCTACTTGGGCTCTTTGGAATGTTAAAATTTGTCCCTTGTCATGGTCTCCTCTGGAAGCCCGCACCTTCGACGTCGCCTTTTTGCAAGAAGCTCCAATCGACCTGTTGGTAATCATGGAACTACCTGTAGTCTCCATTGTAGTTCCTTTTTAGGTTTAACCAAATATATCATAAGGATTTTATAAGGTATCGCGAAAAAGGAACTACAATGGAGACTATAGGTACTACCCTGACGGTCCATATGCCCAAGTACTTAATAATCTCATGCCAGAGTATATATGACGTGGGTACGTGGACCCCCGGGCTAGTCAAATATTCATGTTGAACAGGGCAGTACAACATACCAAAGCACAACATAATGGTGGCATTGGTAAAAAGAATGATAGGCAAGGCAGCCAATCAGCTTGGAGCAGAACCGATCTGGGTTGCCTAGGGTTTCCGCTGTTCCCTTGGGGTTCTGAGGCTGCTTAGTAAGGGCTCTTCGAAGAACTTCCCAGGGCTCTTAAGGATCCCTAGGTCGTGGGAACTTCCACGGGCGGCTAGTGTTTTCGACCAAGACTCGCATGATGTCAAGGACTCGCTTGCAGTTCTTGCAGTTGCATACTTCCGAAATAGACCCGACATACATGTCAGACAACTTGACACTATGGAGAGTCTTGCAGGCAACAACACCGAACAAGTCCGGGAATTTGGGAAGCTTCGTAAGATCCTGGGGGCGGCTGTTCGATGGCAACGGGTGCTCTGGGTCCGTGTGGGCTTGCTGCTTCATGATGCAGGTTTAGGGTCCGTAAGCCCACGCCCTGACCTGTTGGGGAATATGAATCTCGACAAACCCTGATGCATGATCCGGTAAAACGTGAAAGATATTGAACGCTGTCTACTTGGAGGGTCGGGGGGACTTCCTAACCCATACACAGTATGACAAAGGCGACAACCTGAATTTAGGGAGTATGTATATTCCCAGACCAACCTGCTTTCTATAAGACCCCTGATCGTGCAAGCAGACGGTAGACCCTGCTCCCTAAACCCTAACCCCAACATCTTTTGAAGACCTTGGAAAACTATCCAACCCCAAGCAAAACTCATTAAACACACACCCCACCTAAGGACGCCTGCCTGGACCCGCAGACCTCCACACCCCAAATCCCAAACCCCTTCAACACCTACGTGTATGCTCTCAAGGTCCTAGCAAGCGAGCTAAGGCCCTTCTTCCCCGCATGGTTGCGCCTGGTCATCAGCACCTCGTTTGCCTTGGGCTTCAGGCAATTCTGGAAGTGGCTTTGTAGGACTTTCTAGGGTCTTTGTAGGGGCTCTAGACACATTGTGTGTATATATATATACACACACATACATACATACACACATCGTTTGTATATGCCCGGGGGCAACAGGGACAGGGTGGAAGGGTCATCCATGAAGGCTTCGACTCCATGGGAAAGTAGCTCGAACTGACGAGGGTCTTGGAGAAGTCAATCGGTGGGCAGTTGGTGGTGGGTTTTGGATCTACGGTTTAGGGCTTGGGGGTGCTAAGTTGTGGAGTTGCATAGGGTTTAGGGTTGTAGGACTTTTGGGTTTTCGTGAAGGTGTAGTAGAGTACCACAAGCCTTGCTATCTTCGAGGGGCAAGCCGGGCAACAGGGGTACTCCAAGAAAAAGTCTGACTGGAACAAGATGCGCCCGACCTACAGCCCCTAACCCACAGTGCCAGCAAGAGTAAGTCCCTTCGCCCCTTATCCTCATAGGATACATGGCCGGCCGGCCTTTGAGAAACCGATGTTCAAAAACTCAGTGCCGGGCTCCTTGACACTTACAACCCAAAAATGTTAGGGCCAAAGTCAGTTTCAGGTTCCAGAAATACAAAACATCATCCGCAGACACGAAACCAAGACAACAGCCTTGTGAAATCCCAGGCCCTCAGACAGACACGAAGCCAAAACAACAGCCTCGTGAAGTCCTAAGCCCTTCGCCCTTTGAATTTGGGCCGGCACATTAGGGGTTCGGGGGTTGAATTCCCTTTTAGCATTAACTTCGGAAGTAGGGCTTAGTGCGGAAGCCACAACCGTGAAGCAGGCATTGTCGCCAACTCCTTAAAACTACCGACGACAGCGACGCACTGACGGATTCTGCTCCGTTACGATTAGCCAAACCGTCAGATTTATGGGGCCCACAATTTTTGGATCCTAAACCCCCATAGGCAGAGACGGGAGCGACACAGACATTTCAATAAGGACTACTCCTGGTCCTTACACCATGACCAGCTTGACTCCTAGATTCCGTGGCCAAGCTGCGCTTGATCATGACCGGCTCTTCATCCTCTTCCTGTACGCAGCAGGAGTAGTAGTCGTCGTCGTCGTCGTAGTAGTAATAGTGATAGTAATAGTAATAGCAGTAGCAGTAGCAGTAGCAGTAGCAGTAGCAGTAGCAGTAGCAGTAGAAGTAGCAGTAGCAGTAGCAGTAGCAGTAGCAGCGACAGCAGCAGCAACACCAGAAGCAGAGGTAACACGGGTGATGAGGCTGACGTTCATGAGGTGATGACGATGCAGAACTCAGCTCGTTTCTCGTGACCCGTATTCCTTATTTCGATGCTGTGGCTGCAACTCTACCAGCATCGTGATTGTGAAAACAAGATGACGAAGAAAGAGAACAGACATCGTCCTGCCTCCTCCTCTGGATAGTAGTTTGGATCATCTGCCCAGTCTTCCAACTCTGTATCCACAGTCCCCTGCGGGGGCGTCGGGCTTGAAAGTTCGAGACGTGCCGTTCAAGTTTCGAGCTTGGGAGGTGCGGCGGGATCGAAACTATGTGGTGGGTTCTGTGGCTTGGGGCTCGGGGATGAAGGATCTACATTGGGTTCGGAATCAGTTTCAAGCGGTGCCCTCATCCCTTCCGGGTGACATCGATACGGATGACCCCTGCGTTGCGCGGTGGTCCAGGGCTCCACACAGGCCGCTTAGCTCTTGCGATGAAGCCCACAGAAGGGGCATTCCGTTTGTGCGATACACTGGCATGGCCGGCATGGGGTATCATTCTTCACCTCTCGCAGATTAGCAGTTGAGAGCTGGCGCTGACATGGACTTTCGCATGAGCCTGGCCATACCCATACGTGACACGGCAAAGCCTTTGCAGCGAAGCAAAGCCCAGCAAAAAATCAACGTGCGAGGCAACTCACTGCATGCCCGATGCCCCACGCTTCTTCAAGCAAAGACGTCCTGTCCCTGGCTTAGACATTCACTGAGAAACTCGGCAGCCTCGCCCCGGCGCGTTGAGCAAGCTTATCATAGTTTAATAAACCCTAAACCCCCAGCAGCTTATCTTTGTGGTGCACACTCTTGACCTCTCTACATTGGATTAATGCAGTGCCCCGTGTGCTTGCGAGGTTGATAGACAGCCGGCATCAGCACTTGCCAGCACTCATCCCTACTATATTTCTTCCGCTTACTATTACTACTGCTGCTACTACTACTACTACTACCACCACCACCACCATCACCATTACTGCTACCACCACCACCACCACCACTACCCCTGCCCCTGCCCCTACCCCTACCACTCACTACCTCTTAGCATTAAGCCTGGCCTTGAATCCGAAATCCCAGAGCCCCAACTCGAAACCCGAACTCTAAACTTCCGAACCGTGAGAAAAGCCCTCATGACATCTTCTGAACATCCCGACAGAAGTCTAACGGGAATCCGACCCTCAACACCATTTAGCTCTGCAAGCCTTGGAAGCCTAATTCAATAAGCTCCAAGTTCTCGGATGACAGAAAAGAACGAAGGTCCGAGAAACCCACAGACATCAGCCGGTTTTAAAAGCTTCCTAAACTTTTACAGCGACCTCCGACAGACTCTCCTAAGCCACAAGCACGTCGCAAGCCACCCTTACCGCACCCAACAGAGAGCTACTAAAAAGCTACCCTGTCGACCCGAGAACCCCAATATAGGGGCCTCAATAATTAGAATAAGGTTTTGGGTCTCATTATACTATAATCATAATAAGGAGACCCCAAAATAGTACAGGTAGTTATTTAGGCCCCTACATTACCAAGCCCCAAAAATCACCGGTGGCTCTGGGACCCCAGCTCCCAGCCGAGGGTCGATCCCTTTTCTTCTGAAGTACTCCTCTCTATCCTGCTCGGGGGTTTAGGGTTTAGGGTTCCAGGATGTTTTTTTTGTGGCTTGGGGTTTAGGGTCGGCTTGGGAAGGAGTAACAGGGTGATTTTAGTTTATGGTTTTCGGTGTTGTGCGGTTATGGGGTCAGGGGCGAGGGCTGTATTCTCCTTCGGTATGTAGTACGACGAACTACGAACATCTCGAGTTCCACAAGGTTCGAAGGTGTGCGTTCCTCAAAGAATTCAACTTCAAAGTGAGATCGTGAAGGATCGCATAAGACTTCGTAAGTCAGGAGTGAGGGGTTAGGTTTGCATGTCTATGGTCATGGCAAATCCGATACCCTGGAGCTTATGCAGCCGCAGAAGTATAAAAGCGCGTCCTGAGACTTGCTGCAGTGCTTGCGGGAGTGAAGGCAAGAGGACAAGTAGGTGGCTGAGACGTTTAAGGCAGGGTTTGGGGTGTAGTTCCACAGCGGATGCTTTCAAGAGAGAGTGATGGTAAGTAGTAAGAACGGTTCCCATTGCATATCATTCCTGCTAGGATTACCACTGACACACAGCTCGCACGACTGCCAATACCCGTTCGTAAAAGATGCCTACTGTCTTGATCCGAACCAATTGCGTCACTGTTTCTGCTGTCGTTTTTCGTGTTGAGGCGCCAACTGCCGCACCACCAATCTAATTTTGCAGCGGCAACTGACCTTTTGGTATACATGTGCGCGGCATGCTGCTGGTATCGCCGGTGCCACTATCGCTGACGGAGCGGCTGACTCTGGCATTGTTGTCACTACATCAGCATAATAGGCCTCCCAATCACCACCATCATCACGACAGCCGTGATCATCGTTATCCTCCTCATCATCACCAGCATCGACGTCCTGCTCCTCCTCCTCCGCCTCCTCCTCCTGATCATCTCCTTAATCATCATCGTCTTTTCTCATGAACCTCACCATCGCAGGCGTGCCGCTATGTGCTCGTCTTGTGGTTGCCCTCACGTTTTCTATGATGCCGCATATTCACCAGTACCCAATACATGAGCATGCTGTCACATACTGCGTTTATGCCCGAATACAAGTTACAAGTACAAACGATTCCATGTGTGTGTGTGTGTGTGCGTGTGCGATGCCACATCATTACAACTGCGGATGCATGACCTTTGCACAAGGGATCAAAATAGAACTACAGAAGCAGTCAGAAGCACTTGCGTCTGTAGTGAATCAGAATGTGCATGCAGAGATGCTCATGTGCAAGATGGCTGTACACAATCATCTCTTGAACGCATGCGTAGTGCACAGAATAGAATACCTAACCCAACACCCCTTCGAAACCCCCATTCCCAAAGGCTCCAAGTACCATTATAGTAGGTACTTAGTAGGTATTTGGGCCCCAAAGTAAAGACTATACTAGTACTTGGACCCTTTGAGGATTCCGAAACCTTGAACTAAACTTAGCTAAACCCGAAGGTCCAGACTGACTGGGCGCCGGACCAGCTCTTTGGTGGCTCCACCAATCTCTTTCTTCTTGTCTTGCTTCTTTCCTAGCATCCCAAACCCCAAGCACCCTAAACCCCGGACCCCAAACCCTGTATCCGAAACCCCAAATCCCAAACCCTGTAGCCGAAACACTAAGTCCAAAGTCTCAAACCCTTTGGTCTTCGGCATATTATGGGCTTCGCGAAGCTCGGGTCCCTGTTAACGTGTAATGCAGACCCCTGACTCATAAACCCCCTGTCTTTTCTGGCCTCACGTAGCGGGGTCTCCATTAAATTCCCTTCCATATGGAGGTCTAGGAAGCAGGGGTCTACGAAAGGGCTTTCAAAAAGATCAGCCAACCCTCCCTAACGTAGGGGCCTTAATAGTTGAGCACTCTAGCTATATTCAGGAAATCAAATTGGTATAGGTAATTATTAAGGCCTGTATATTAAATGGGTATTTCTCAAAATTAGGTTTTTTGGGGCCCCCAAGATAGTACCGCACTCTTACAAAAAGGGCCCTAAAACGGACCAAAATTTATACAACTACCCAACTGTTCTCTCGGAGCCGGGGTCCATGCCACGGAAGGCTTCGGGAGTCGGGAGACGACGGGTGGCTTCAGAAAGCAAAGATGCCAAAATAAACCCTAAAGAATAGGGTAATGTAAGGGCCTTTATAATTAGAATAGGGTTTGGAGGCCTCCTTGTTATAATTCTAGTATGATATACCCCAAACCCTATTCTAATTATTAAGGCCCCTACATTAACTGCTGTAGGGACCATGAACTTGGAACCCCACTATTTAGTTATGCGAAATCGCCAAGTGAACATGACCAGACAGATCTCAAGTTTCGATTCCCCAATGCCGACTTTGAACCAACCTGATCAGCTATACCCGAAACTATCCAAAACCCTAAGCGTCTAGCGATAAAAACGCAAACCTCAAAAGGACCTGACCTTCGTGGGATCACAGGTTGGGTGTTGGAGTTGGCGGGGTTAGGGCTGAAGGCCAGAAACCCAAACCTGCAATGCTGAACACTAAACACCGAACCCCAAACAGTGTGCCCATAAGTGGCAAACCAAACTTCTCATATCCAGGGAGATCCAACATCCCAACCATGTAATTGCTGTGGGGTTTAGAGTTCAGAATGGCTTTCTTAGCTGCAGAGGCGTGAAACCGAGGTCCAGGGACCAAAAACCCAAAACCCAACCCAAACACTCGAAGGCGGCGGGGTTGCTATTGCGGTCGGAATCAGCAGCAATACTGTCCCATAGAGTATACAAAACTCCGAAGCCCTATTCCTACAATTAAGGACCCCGTATTACGGATCAGCCAGGGGGCTGTCAACCTCGGCCGCTTTCGCATGGATATCTCCAATCCTGATTTAGAGAAGCATGTGTACACACCAGTCCTGACATAGCGGCAGATAGCAGGGCAGGGGTGCAACCTTACAGTGTTGAGGTACGAGTAGAACAAAGAAGAGGACTAGCAGTGCAAAACTACTAGGCGTAACAAGTGAGTGTTGCGATGACCTTCCACGGTAGCAGTGGCCAGTATGCTACACAAGCCAAACAAAACACGCAGTTAGAGCCACGACGAGACCACAATCACTGCTGAAAATGGGTTAAAAGCAGTCAGACTCATGGTAACAAGAGACAGAGAGAGAGAGAGAGAAAGAGAGAGGGAGAGAGAGAGCGAGCGAGCATAAAAAAAAACTAGCCATATGACAGTATAGTACAGACATAAAAAGTAGACGCACGTGCAGAAGACCGTAATGATAGCCGCAATATGACTGACAGCCATGCATTAGCTACAGTATGATCGGAGTTGAAGACACCAACACATGTACAATCTACTAGCTATATGTATACAAATGTAACCTGGATGATGACGGTGAAGTTAAATCGCGGCATTCAGTTTTTCGGACTTCGACAAGACAGGGTTCTGCATCCGGAAGAAGGGAGCCTACTGTTCAGTAAGGACTTGTGAGTAGACGCCTTGATCGGATTTCTGTGTATGCGGAGATACTGCGGGTCCGGATTTCTCTTAGGGACTCGCTTTCCCAAACAAATATGCTCGGATGATATGGGCTGCCAGCCGAATCTGCTAGTGAAGTCTCCGTCGGTAGCAATCACGGACGGACACCTAGAACCCTTGCCACCACAGGCATCATGAACCACTTCATTCAATAGGGGAGAAACCCTTACAAGTCCCGGTCCGCGACAACCAGAACCCTAAACCCTAAACCCCAAACAAAGGACCCCAAACCCCAAAGCAGCTTCGGGATTACGGGTTTGGGACTTCCCGGTTGCTTGCCAGACGATTGGGCTTTTCAGGCCCAAAACCGTGTCTTTCTGCGGGCATGTTGCGCCGAAAAGGGATCCGGATCTCTGTTGCCAGCCTTGGATCGAATTAGCACCAAAATCATGGAAAGAACTCGGTACGGTTCGGTGTTTCGGACATGATTTGTGGCGACTACCGCCACAATCCAAAGCGGGCCTAACCAACACGACATTGGTACTTCACACTCTCTGAAGCATGAGTTAAGGCGGCCTTTGAGGGCTCTTGTGAAAGACTGACCCTGATCTCCAACATCGAAACCGCCAGCGTGCAAAACTCCTCAACAAATCAACTCTTGACAATCCTCGAAAACCAAAAAGAAGAGCATGTTGAACAACTAACCGCATTCGACATGAAAGCCTGCGGACCCGAGATCGGCCGGCAAGCAAAATCGACACGCCATCAACGAAACCCTCCACGTGTCCGAGTCCCCGGGGTTTTGGCTTTGCAGCTCTTGTTTGACTTCCTACTTCAACTGTCGACAGTATGAACCCCAAACCCCAAACCCTCAACCTTCTACGTGATAGAATGGCCTGAGTTTGGGTCTGAATTTCCTTCGGATTCAGGGTTCCCTAAACCCTATAAAATAAATTCTAAACCCTAAGCCCCAAACCCTAACTAAACCCTAAGCAAATGAAGCGCAACTTGGGTTTGACAAGGCCTGGCATGTCAAGGTGCTCGAGCTTTAAAAAAGTAGCAAGGGGAGTGTATACATGAGTCTCAGAGTTCTGGGGTTTAGAGCTTAGGCGTTTAGGGTTTAGGGTTGGGATATCAGGGTTCCGGGATCTATTAACTTGTTTGGGCTCGCGACAGGTCGGTTTCAGCTTCTTGACATCTGAGCACCCAGCCTCTGAACCGAAAATCGCCAAACCGTAAAATTAAACCCTATGCCTTATGCACCTAAACGGCCCTACACTCCATCCCAACTCTAAATCCAGGCCCATGTCTCAGAATCCTGCCGAATTGTCAATGCTGTCCCAGTCAACGCCGCTCAAGATGTCCGTGAAAGCCTGACAAACGGGAGCTTGCACCGCAGGCGTTCAAGGGTCTCGCGTTTGGAGTTGCAGTTGCAGGCATCCGGTTGGTTTGGGAGTTTAGGATTGCATCGCCGTCGAGGCGTCCATGGGTAAGCAGCTGTAATTTGGGAAACACTTCCTTTGTGTGCAGTGTGCCAGTCTTCGCGGAAGGAACAGATGCAAGCGCCCGGGCTAGCCTCCAGTAGTCGATTTCGTTGATGCTTGGCTCCTACAGAGCTGTCCTACGACACGCCGGAATCGTGCCTGCTTCTTGGCTGGAGCCGGCGGAGCATCAACAGCCTCTGTCTCCTCCAATTCACAACGGAAGATCTCACTTAGTTTAGGGGAGGTTCTTGCTCTTAGGGGTCCTTTTTGGATGTTTTGTATGCAGGATCCTACTTCTTAGGATCTATAATAAGGACCCCTACCTGCTGAAACTCCCATACAGGATTTTTTGTCCGCCGGCAGCGGAACTGCGAAACGAAAGGATGCTATTTTACCATCAACCAGCACGGAGAGCAGGCTCTTAAGCTATAGACAACGGCACAGGCGTAGTGTTCCGTTTGGGGCTTCGGTGTTCTTGCTCGAAAGATGTTTCTGTGTGGTATGGTGTTGTGAAGGTGTCTCGTGCACGGACATCAGGTCTCCGAACACATGCAATCGACTGGGAGAACTTCCGACCAAGTGCCGTCCCTTCCTATGCAAGGAGCTGCAGCAGCAGTGAGTCCGTAGCACGGGGTTGCCCGAGGGTGGGGGCGCCACAAACTTCTTTCTGTTGCAGCCCCCATGTCGGAGTCCTTTCCAACTTCTTTCAAGCCCACCTCCAACCAAACAAATATCCCGACAAGGTAGAGAATTCCTGCTGCACAGACTGAAACTGAACAAGGAAAAGAAGCAAGAGACCACGACAATTCAGAAGAGCGTCCATCTTACCATGCCCTAAACCCTGAATTCTAGCATTTCGAGACCGAAACATCAAGCCGCAACTCCCGAAGTACACCTTTAGTCACTGTCAAACTCAGGGTCATGAAGGGCCCGTTATAAAAGTCGCGGTCAGTTCATCCGTAGTAGCTGTGGTGGAAGCTTGACACTACAAGCTTTTGAACAAAAGCCCTTTACCGCTTAGGCCAAGGCGTAGGGGCCATGTTTCAGTGCTGACAGCCGCAAGAGCCCAAAGCGCTCAAAGCCCAGATTTAAAAAAGAAAAAGCATCAGCTGCGGATTGACAAAAAGGTTCGCCGACCCAAACATCCAAAAGCCTGAGTGTTACTGCCATCCGAAAACACCCACCCTAAACCACCTTCACAAGCATGAGACCACACAATTCCCTTCTCTAAAACATCAAGGCCGAGACAACCAAAGGTATCGTAAACCTAACCTCAGCCCTTCATACCGTCATTGTTTCGTACAAATGCATACAAACCCACATCTCCAAAACAACTTTCAGCAACCTGGCTAGTTCAGAACCCCGAAGCCCTACTGTATCAAGCCGGGCGCAAGACCTGTGATTAGCACCGAACCCTGCAGAAGGGTAGATTGAAACTTCTTATAGTTCAAAGCATCCTTGCGAACAGTGGGTCCTGTGAGCCACAAGTAAGAACCTTCAGCTTGATACCAGCTTACAACCCGAAACGAAACCCGCAACGCCGGCGCCTGTGCTGCTGGCGCAGCGGCAGCCTCCCGCTCCTGGCAAAAAGACCGACCACTTCAGAAGCCAGGGTTCGAAGCAACTAAGCCCCAAACCTCTACACCCTGAACTTGCCCTGAATCCTTTAGAGCTTTGGGGTAAACTGCCTTCTCCAGGTCCATCATCTTCTCCACCACTTCCTCCGCCGCTTTCATGTCTTCTGGGTCCTGCCCACGGAGGATGGTGAGAACGCCTTGATGGCGGTGTAGGGTCTACGGTTCAGGGATTAGGCATTTTGGCTTCGGGAACATTTCAATGTACTTATACGAAGGAAGCGGGCAGAAAAACGGGGATAGTTATTCAGGCTTGTATATTTGTTCTTAGCTTGATGTGTTCGGTAGGGCTTGGGTTTCGGGTCTCGAAAGGACCTTCTCTTGAAGCGTGTTCTATGGGGTTATGGGATAATCACACCCCTATTCCAGCAGTTGTTTTTGAATGGCAGATGGTTTAAAATAGTGTTAACCCTGACCCTCCAGGTACCTACTATATAGGGCCTTAGGGGCTCTAGTACCCTATATAGTAGGTACCTGGGGGGTTAGGGTAAGGAGTTGGATGGATTTAGGATTTCGCAGTTCGGGGTTTGAAAGGACCCACAACGCACCGATGCCTTAGGCGTAAGAGCCGAATCTCGGAAAAAAACGGAAGCCAACATCTGAAACCTGCCCCTTGAGCACAAAACTCCAAAGCCCCCAAGACTAGCAGTACCCCCAACCCTCACAAGCCAAGAGACACAACTCCAACCCTGAAATGCATCAAGCCCCTGAACCCAACACCCTCAAATCTTACACCCTAGAGCCCTGAAGCCCTGAATCCTTATCGCCCTAAAGGCGCTGAATCCTAATCGCCCTAAAGAAGCCCTAAACCTCACGAGTGGCGTGCCTCCTTTGACACCTCCTCAGTGGCCTCCGGTTCTTGAACCTCTGTGGGCTCCTCCCAGAGCACCCAATCGGCTTAGTAGGGTCAGGTAAGGGTGAACTTTCGGGGTACTCTATGCAGCGGAGTTTGGGGTTCAGGGTTTAGGGCTGTGGGGTTTCAGATCCGATCGCTTCAGAGGTCCGGAAGTTCAATGCCTTGGGCTTCAGGATTTAGATCCAAATGGGCTTATAGATCTTAGCTTAAAGGGGGGTTTAATGGATTTTGGACGCTTTAGCTCAGGGCTTCAGAGCTCCAAGGGTCAGCGTAGACACATGCTCCTTTACCGTGGCTCCTCTGGCGCCATGAGAAAACGCTGAGGAAGGATGCAGTCTTTGAGGTCTGAGGGATTGAACCATGGGATTGGAGGACCAGGGCGACAGACTGCTGTGAGGAATCATTCGCAATGCTTCCAAATATCCCCATAGATCTACATATATGTATACATATAGTCTATGGACATGTGTACACGTACGTAACGTACTTACATACCAAAATATACGCCTTCTGTTGCACCATACAAAGCAAGCTGATCGCAAAGCACCTGCAGCTATAAAGCAGGCAACAGCTCACGGCCGCCAGCTGGCGGGCTCTTGGCAATGGGCATCCTACCTACTACTTGTAACAAGGTACAGCAAAGTGGAAGCATGACTGGCTTGAAGTTCTTATTATAATTACAATGTAGTGATTAAACCCCCAAGCCCCCGAAACCATCTTCTAATTCACAAAGCACCCATAGTTACATCATTACCTGCCGGCCCACAGAACCCGACAACGCCATCCAACGAAATTGAGCAGTTTTCGAACATTGTGAAATGCCCAGAGTAACAACAAACGACGGACATGGCCTCAATATTTGGTATAAGGTCTGGGGCATTTTTTAACTACAATGAACCGAATCAGGAGCCATGATGAATAGTGCTAGTCATTGTTACTATCCAATATATGTATTCATACATACGTACAAACATACATACATACATACATACATACTTACATACATGCATGCATACAGACATACAAACATACACACATACATACGTACGTAAATACATACATACATACATACATACATACATACATTTGTAAACAAACAGATGCAACATATATATATATATATATATATGTATATATATATATACACATATTTATGTAATTATATTTATTAGCATATGCATACGTGTATGCGTGCATGTATGTACATATGCACGTACATGTATATGCACAGATATATATGTGTGTACACGTATATGTTTTTGTCATTACACACACATATACATATACATATATATATATATATGTATAAGTAAACATGTACCTATGTACAAATACACGTTTGTGTGCACATACATATTATATGTATACATATATACCTATATGTACATATAATGGGTCTACATACCTAAATGCTTATATATATATATATATTGCTGATATACCTTTTTTATGTTGGTTGCTCGAGCCTGGGCTGCTTCCTTGTCCTCCATCTTGGCCGGCTCCTGTCCAAACAGGTGGGGTTTTATCTAGGGGCCTATAACTGACTACCAATACTATTTTGGAAGCTCCTGATCATAATTAAAGAATGGGCCCCAAAACCCAATTCTAACTATTAAGGCCCCTATATTACATGCTTTAGACTTATGCTTCGGGGTGGCTTACGATTCCGAGGTTCTGCGACGCTTGGTTTTCAACGAGGGCAAAGAATCAGAGCTCGACTTGAGGATGGCTGGGTTTTGCTCGGGTTCCCAGAGACTCCAATACCCCTTAATTAAGGAATAGACCTTAAATTATAGTAGGATCCCTAATAAGGTTTAAGGTATATTCCTTAATTAAGGGGTATTGGAGTCTCTGGGTTCACGGCGGGCCTTTTCGTCGAAGTCGGCGTGGGCAACTAGCCTTGTTCCACTTGGCTTTCGCACGACCGCGGTTTTGGAACTTGCTCTTTAATTACCCATATTACCGAGGGCTCCGTATTATTAAAAATACTATAAAGGACCCAGAGACTCCAATAGCCCTTAATTAAGGAATATACCTTAAACCTTATTAGCGATCCTGCTATAATTTAAGGTATATTCCTTAATTAAGGGGTATTGGACTCTCTGGGGTGCCCAAAACCCATTCTAATGATTAAGGCCCCTTCAATAATGGTCCAGGATTCAAAGGCACCTGAACCAAGCCCCGACGATCAAAGCTGCCCGGGCTTGGGACTAAGACTTGGTGGGTGTGTGCTTAATGCTTGGAAAGGTGTTTGGGGTATGCTATTATACTACTACTGCTACTACTACTACTACTACCACTACTACTACTACTACTACTACTACAAGCAGGTACCCTTAAAAAACAGTGACCAATGTTACGACTTATTCCGATCCATCTAGGCATATATGGATTATTGTACGGCTCTCAATCCTGGACCGGTTCCTTCTCCTCCATCTTGGCCGGCTCCTTTCGACGCAAGTAGGGTGTAATCTTTGGGTATATTGCAAAGTCAGGAGCCCTCAGGAATAGCACTATGGAGAGCAAAGGGTGTGGTGCTTTGGTTTGGGGTGGTTTAGAGTGTCGGGTTCCGTGTTCTGCGGATTTTGGCTTCCAACGAGAGCACTTCTCGACCCCAAGTTCGGGATTTTGCCTTCGGGGCTTTGCAATGCGTTTTTGTGCGGCGTTGGGTGGCCCTTTGTTGGTTCAGGGCTTTGGGATATGAGGCAAGGTCAGCACATGTTCTGTGAAGCTGGGTTCTTGCCGTTGCACTTAGGTTGAATGTGACCACACGTTTTGGAATTTTCTCATTGCCCAGGATTCAAAGACGCCTCGACAAAGCGCCAACGATCGAGCTGCCCGGGCTTGAGCTTGGGGGTATTATCATGATATAATGTTATATCATCATAGTGGGAACCCTAAGAAAGAGCAGTTAGCACACCTGTTTCGGCGTTCACAGCAGGGTTTTGGCGGATTCGGACAGCTGATAGGAATAGCTTCAACACCAGACGCCACAAAAAAAAACAAACAAACATCCCAATGCTCGGACGCCTGGTGCTCCACCAGGTGCGTGCAAACATAATGTGAATAGTTCCTTGCTTGTTGTTACTATTATGACACACATATAAGACATATATATATATATGCTACATATATATATATATATATGCTACCCCCCCCTCAAGGATCCACCGTTTTGGCTGTTTCAGCAGACCGGATCAACCATTTTAGCTGTTTCTGAAGACTGTGAAGCAAACGAAGCATTTATGAAATGTACAGTAAACGAGTGTGATGCATGCTGACTGCCACTACTACTACTACTACCACCACCACCACTACTACTACTCTGCCAC